TGCAGGCAGTAATGTCACTATTAGGTGTTCCTAGTTCAGTTGAGTGTGGAGTGCGTTGTTGTCATGATATTTCCTCCAGAAAGGGTTCTGATTTGCGTAATAGTGATTATTTCTTAATAACTGACAAGTGTGTCAGTCTTCTGAACAGGCACAAAAAGCATCAGTGTTGTGTAACATTTAGTCAGTTTGGTGCTTTTCCTTAGATTTCTTCTCCCAGCAAGCTTGCTGTGTATAGAGGGAGCATGCATGCTCTGTGTGTGTACACACACACATTTTGTTAAGCCTCACTTCTTAGCATGTATGTCTTATTGCAAAATTCTTAATTGTCAGATTGGCAGGATGGAGACCTGTGCCTTCTCACATTTGGCTTTCAAACTGCAGCTTTGCTCTTTGGGACTAAACTAAACAAGGGTGGAATAGAGGTCTTTAATCTCTTTGAATCTGGACCAGAATAATTGCTTTACAAAAAGAAAATGGGCCAGATTTTCCCCTCTTATCTCTTTCATGGCAGTGCAGTCTGCCTCCTGCATATACAAAGGAAAGAAATCAGCCTGTTTTTATTTTTTTTCAGCTGGTGGCACAATCTGGAGTCTGAGTCATGCTGGTTTTTTTTTTTTTTTTTTTTTGGGTGACAACATCAATAATAAAAACTCTGCAACTGGAGCATCTTTGGGAAATTTCACTCCTTTGTCCCATAGCTGTGTTGTCTTTGCAGCACAGATAGCTAACAAGGATAAATTCAAAGTGGTCATCTTAGGAAAGTATGCAGCTATGATTAAAAACATTATTCTGTTTAGCAAGAAGCTGGTGCTTCTATACATAGTTACTAATAAGCTAGCTAAATTTTCAAATACATTGCTAATCCAAGAGCTACTGTTCATAGCATTGCTTTTAAAAAGCATAAAGACATTAGTGTTTCTTCAGGAAACATGAAATGCAAAGGATGTGTGCTTTTTGTTAAAAATGAAAAGCGTTGCTTTTCGTGTAACTGGAATGTGACATGTGCACTGAATATAATTTGTTTTCTGTTTATATATAGTTAGTAGGCATTTGGAAACTATGTTGCATAATATTTCATTATGGTGAATGGGGAGTGCTGCATGAAAATGAATCCTGGTTGGGATTTTAAGTCTCTCTGAGAGTAACTACTGGTAGAACTTGATATAAAACATTAAACTTTGTCCTGGTATTTTACAACTATTTTTTTTTATATTTTACTAAACACAGTATAAGGGCTTCACTGCCATGTTCCATTAAGATGAGATGACCTCCTGTGTTACTGTGATATTTTTTTTTACCATCTTTTGCTTCTGTGTATTTCTACCATGGATTTAATTGGAATGGCAATTTAGTAGTTGTGAATTGACTGGTTGAGTGAAGTGTTATGAAAGGACAAATCTCTTGCACATAGTACTTGTATCCTGTACTTACTGCAGTGAAAGTCAGATTACCATTTATTCAGTTATTTTCATAAGAAGATGGTAGAGTGATAACACTTTGGCATTCTTCCACCATCTGTAGTATTCTGTAGCAAGGCTGTAACAACATTTGCAGTTTTTGCATGATTCTTGCATATGAATCCTGTTGATTTCCAGAAGAGATTATTAATTTGGATCAAATGTGGTTGTTCAGTCTGTGTTATGGGCATGCAGCTCTTTTACTAGTTTGGGTGTGACTAGGGTCTTCTTTAACATGCATATTTTCTTTTATTTATTTATTTATTTATTTTCTCTTTCAGGTTTCTGTATCCAAACAAGATGATACTTATATATTTGTTCTTCAGACCACTGCAATTGCTCCTTTTGTTTCTCTGGATGTAGGGAGTATAAAAGGCAGATTTAGTGATAATGGTTTCCTTATGACTGAAAAGAAGAAAGTGGTTGTGTTTTATCCTTGGGAACCTACCAATGTTGAAGAACTAGAAAATTCACTAACCTTGACCTCTCTGTTGGATATTGTCTGAAAATACCTCGTTTCCTTCTAGTTATATAAACAGTGTAACGGGAGGAGAAGAAATATTAAAACGGGAGGAGAAGAAATATTAAAACAATTTTACTGAAGTTGAAGTGACATACAATTTGAGCCAACTGGAGAATATACTGTCTGTTCCTGTCATGTGTGAATTTTAACTGTTGGTTCAATGTAAAGATATCAGCAGCAAAGCTTACATATAATATATGTGGTGTCTTGAAAGTACATCCATCGTTTTTCTAGTTTCACTATGCTTTAAGTGGAAATTCATCTTAAGATAACAGCAGGGTATGCTAGGGAGTGGGGAGAAGGGCAGGGAATGCAGCTGGGACAACCTCCAGAAGTACGCCTCCAAGTTATTTGAACTATCTACATCCAGGTCAGGAGGACACTAGGCCTACCCTTTCAGATCTATGGCTGTCATCCATTAAGGTGGCCTGCCTGCCTCCTGCAAGGCATGAAACATGGGCTGTTAAGTCAGACATCAGGCAGATCTGTTCCCCTTTCTGAAAGAGGAATTCAGTACAAGACTTGTTTTCTGCTCTCTTTTTGTGCAAAATAAGCAACAGCCGTTGAGAGCTCTGCATTTAGCTTTGTCTATGCCCAGAGAGCTGCAGGTGCAGTCACGAACCTTTTGCTGCTGTGTGGGATCCCACATAATGTGCCATGTGAGAAAAGGAGTGGGGAGAAGAGTTAACCAAAGGTGCCAAGAGAAAGGAGGCAGTACAGAGAAGAAATGGTCATGTAAGAGAACCACAGAGGTACAAGTGACTGTTTTTTCTCTACTAAATGCAGGGTGCAGTGGCTGCTGTTCTCACTCAGACACTGCTGCACAGACATTCTGTTACCTCTTGACATTCCTCATGAGTGGTCCTGTGCTCCACACTGATCCTCCTCTCTTTCCAACAAATTAAAACCTCAACATTTTTCTTTCTATGGTTCCCCATAGAAGACACTTGACTCGTTATTACATCTGGTGGCACATTGAAATCCTTAGTTTATACAAGGTAATGGTGGTTCACCTTCCATTCTGTTTCCAACTACATTTTAAAATTTTAAGTTTTCTCATAGAAATGTCATCTCACTTTGGCATTTAATACAAAGAAAATAAGCTTGCTTCAGCATGGTGGACTACTGTAGCCTGTGGAGCTGAAAGCCTGAGGGTTTGACTGTCATGAAATCAAGACCACTGAGCTGCGCTGTGAGCAGGTTGCTAAACAGTGGGCTTGTCTGTCAGATGTGGTTTGAAATGCAGCTGGGATCTTGCTGGGGTTCTGCAAGAATCCCCTCACAGTCTGAGCAAGTATTAATTTTCCTGCAAAGCAGAATTGGCACCATAGTAGGTGGTGTTTGAAAAAGCTGTACTGGTGATGTCCATCTGTGTTGTAAAAGCACCAAGTAAGTGATATTTGCTGGTGGGGGTGGTCCTCGAGCTTGTGTGGGGTGAGTGGCTGTTCCACTGGACACTTAGAGACCTTGCACTGGGGGTTGTTTCTTGCAGCGACCGCAGTTTTAATGGGCAGAGAGATGAGCATGTTGATAAATCCTTGGTGATCTCTGGTGCTTTTGAATTGGGTGTTAACAAAAAAATTACACACTCCTGAGCAAAAGAAAGAACTTAAGGATGAAAGAGAAATGATAAATGGAAGTTGCTTACAAATTCTTTATTAGGTCAGCAAAACAACTAACTGCATTTGCATTGGAGGCTTTTTCTGATTCAACACTTGTTCTAGCTAAAAGAAGACATGAAAACAATAAAAATATGGAGGTGTATGTGCCAATGTTTATAGGTTATGCAAAATAAATAGAGAAAATTACAGTCATGAGTAAAACTTAACAGTTAGAAAATGCAGATATTGATAAAGGAGATTAAAAGTTATCTGAAAGGCATCCTGTGCCAACAATACAAAAAAAATTCTTCAGTTTTTTTGGTGTCCTGGCATCAAAGTGAAATCAAAGCAGCAATGGTGTCAATATAAGGTAAGGATGAAAAAATGTGGAAAAAATATGATTAATAAATACTGCTGCAGTATTTAGAAAAAGGGCAGTTTTTGTTGATGTCTTTCTCTTATGGAGAAATATTTCTTCCAGCCACATCTAGATAGAACTTCAAAATGGCATTTAATAGTGTTAAAGAAATAGAGCTTTGATAGATTCACTTGTTTAAAGACAGTCAAGAAGATTGTCTGGAGGTCAATGGTATTTGTTCTTGGTGCATCTCAGCATAGGAGTGAAGTTTGAGATATGTGGAAAAGAGCTTTTGGATTGCTAGAATTTGGATAACTGTGACCTTGTTTAGCCTGTCACAAATTTTAGGCAAAATCTTGAAAGAAATGATGTGGTATGTGATAAATAAATGTTGAAGTGGCTATGCAACTAATGTCTACCAGCACAGTTATGTAGAACAGCATTCTTTTATGTTTTTTTCCCCTGTTGCTTTCTGCAATTACCAGATTGATGTGAAAAGGTTCAGGCAATTTTTTTCGATTGCTGTTTTTGAAGGTCAGAAGCTCCCTAAGGAGTAGGTCCATTCTTTCTCACTGGAGAGCTTTAATTCAACACTAGGCACTGTTATGAAAGATTAGCAGTTGCTTAAGCCAAACACTCGAGCTCAAAACAGAATTTAATGGGGAAGGTTCACTTCCATTGTTGTCTTAATATCCTTAATACATCCTTTTGATTTCCTGCTGTTGTAGTAGGTGTGTATTTATAGAAGCTGTTCTCTGCCCCATGCAGCAGTGGCTGTAACTTGTGCTTTGGTTAACCATTTTGCCTTGGTACTTTTGCAGTTGCATACTGTGCTATACTTGGTTACATTGTTCTGCTGTTGTCTCAGATCAGGGCAAAGATAGGAAGGCAAGTGAAGAGAGATTCAGGGTACCCAGCACTCATATCAACACATCCATCTGTAGCCACCTGAGTGTTGTTGCAGCTCCTGGGCAGCACTTGTATTGCCAGTTCTGTCTGATGGGCAGGGGTTCAGGAGCAGGAGCACTGGGAGGAGCATGTGGTGAGTGTCATGGTGCTTGTCCTCAGTGCCATTAAATTATTGGTGGCAGCAGTAGAGGGGACTGGGCTCATCAGTGTTCTTTCAGGGTGGATCCTTGCTATGTTTTGTTCAAGGACCTGTGAGTTTACTTGTGCTGATGGCCTTTCTTTGCTCTCAGGCCCCCTCCTGGCTATTCTCCACTGACAGCAAAAGTTAGCAGCCAGAGTCCATTTCAGACATGACCAATGCCCTTCCAGAACAGAACTTGAGAGCAGGTTTGGGAAGAACACTGTATGGCATTGGCTGATTTGTTGTCCTAAAACTGGTCTCTGACAGAGATTTGGCTCTGAACCTATTCAGGACTTGCAAAGACCATTTTGAGCTTTATGGGGCACCTCTTTGTTGGTACTTTCTGCCACATGTGGAAGCCTTATTTTGCTCCAGTTTACTGGAGCATGTCCTTGGAAGCTTTTTCAAGTTCTTCTGCATCTTCTCCAGGAAAGAAGCATGCAAATGTATCTGAACGTTCCTCTCTAAGAAAGTGTTCATAGTTTGTCAGTCTTTGTTGTTACCTGTTGTTTGCATACCTTTTGACCTGGACAGTTTTTCTGGCTTAGAGGCACATCTTTTTACTGTACTTTTATTTCTATTAGTCCCCTTTTGGTTTTGGAGATGTGTAGCAGACACATTTTTCAGACTTGTAGCAGACACTTGTAGCAGTGTCAGGAGCAGAGAAACAGGCCAATGAATTTCTTATTCTTGGGACAGGACAGTTGGGTTTTGTAGCTTACAAACCAGTCTTTATATTGTCAGAATCACAGTTTTCTTTCTTACCCTCTGAGTTGTAAGTTAAGTCATCCAGGGACTTGTGGTTAGAATGTTTGACATGTTCCAGTCAAAGAATTTGGTCTACATAACTCTGCTTTCCAGTCAGATGTTACACAATAGTGAAATTAAAGTCCCAGTTTAGTTTAATTAGAGTGGAAAAACAAAGCTTAAGTAAAAAAAGGGCATTTTTCTGTAGAAGTAGAGTCAGTTAGTAGAGACCCATAAATACCTGGTTTGATTATTAGTGTGTATCATAGCCAAAATAAAAGGTGTCTCTGGTCTAGGTGACTACAGCAAAGGAAACGTGCTGCAGCATAAAGGGAAACAACACCCTGAGGTGTCAGGAGGAAGGCAGTGAACATGGCTGCTTGCCAGGACCTGTTCATGCAGCTCTGCTTTGGGAGTTGATCTTGAAATTTTTTGATGGGTTCTGTGAGTTCAAAGTGGTTCAGGATTGCTCTTTCTTTGCATAGCTTTTTTACTTTGAGGCTGGCTGGGTACCTGGTTGACTGTGGAGGGGAATGGCTGTGGTAGAACTACTGGCCTGTGGATTGAGCCAGGCTTTATGGCCTGGTGGGGAGCTGGGTAATCCAGAACAGAGCTCTAAGTAAGAAAGAGTCTGTTGAGCTGGTGACCTGCTGGGGAAGCAGCTCTTGTAAGATGGAGGAGCTGAAAGTTTCAATCCTGTTTCATGGTAGTGAGAAACCAAAACCTTAAATGCCAGCCTCTGATACCTCTTTGCAAACATTGCCATTGCCAGGCATTGCAGCTTCTCTGTCTTCTCCTGTTGTAGCAGTCCTCCTTTACCTGTTGTAAGTAAGCTAAATAGTAATACTTGGGCATGCTGGCCCTGTGATTCTGTCTTTCTAACTAACATGGACTATACCAGGGCTTAAGCTTCAGCCCATTTCCCCAACAGCTGTAAAGGAGTGATGCTGTGAGCCAGGCCTCAGGTGGTTTCCTATGAAAGAAATAGGGGAAATCTTCATCTCTTGTTATTCCGTGGTAGTGTTAGGGCGGTAGGAAGCTGTGGTTGGGTTGCCTAGTGTGAACACTGGTGAGGATCCAAGGGCAGCACATAAAGAAGCGGGCTCAATGTTTAGAACAGTGACGTGTTTTGTGTATCTAGCCATCTGTTACCCATCTGGAAGTACTCTGGGTACTTTGGTTTGTACTGTAGCGAAATATAGACTTTCTTCCCTGGGATGCTGAAGACAAGAAGATACTGAGGTGACTGCACATCTGAAAGAGAAGTGAGGCAGTTGTCATGCCCCTGTCTTTCTGGCAGGCGTTGTATTAGCTATCCCAGAGGCGTGATACTGCTCTGTGCCTGTGTTGGCTGACTCAGCTGGAATGTTGGCAAGTGCCGTGGTGGGGCACAGGTTAACAGGTGTTAAGTCTGTCACAAGTGTTTTCCCTTGCAGTATGTAATGAAGGCCACTGATTTGCTAGAGCTCCTCAGTATTGTAAATGAAGCAAGGGTGAACGGAAAGCTGAAAAATTGCTGCAGTGGTTGAGTTTAAATGAGGCCATTGGGAAACCTCTGCAGGCTTTAAATAATAACAGACATACTACAGCCTGGCTCTGAGCAGGACATCAGGCTGCTTCATAATGCTGAATGCAGGAAATCAACTCCTTGGTAATTAACTTGTGTTATCTTTTTCCTGTAGCTGTAGGAATCTTTGGAAGCCAGCAAAAGTGGGGACTGTGCCTTTGGTGGTTACTTTAGAACTGTTCTGTTCGAAGGGGTGATCATCCAGAAGAGCCAAAAGCTGTGGACTGTGGGTGAGTTATTGACCACTGCACCCTGAGCTAACAAATCGGCAGTACCATTCCTGTCACTTGGAGGGAGCAAGGACAGTGTTGGAAAAAAGCATTTTACTTGCCTAGACAAGGGAAAAAAAGAGGCTTTATACACCAGCACATGTAGGTAACATTCTTATCCTTCCTGCAGTCCACAAAATTTCAGAATGCTTCCTAGAACTTCCCACTACCACACTGATTTCCAAGTTTGTAAATACCCCCAAATATGATGCCAAGGAACTTACAGCTGTGGCAGCCAATCTAAAATCAAGGGCAATTTAACTTTCTGAATAATCCATTTTACATCAAATGTAAAGAAGATCCGTAGTGATCTGTTGTCACAACTTTTGCTGCATTCCACAAGTTTCTGATGTTTATTACTGCAGTACAGTAGCAAAATAGTGGAGCAGGCTCCATTCCACTGCAAATGTAGATTAAGTTTAGAATTATTTCAGATTTTGATCCTCACTGTAAGTAAGTTAAAATTTAATACTAAACTGGACTGAGAATGCCCGAAGTTTACATTTCAGGGGGGAAAAAAGCTTAATTACATAATCTTTCTTATTTTCATACTGAACCATTTGAATATTTCAAGTGTTGCAGGTAAATCGGTGCAGTTACTGTCAAAGTGAGAAGAAGCTTGATTAGCACTCAAAAGAACAAACCCATGAAATCAGCTTTTAAGGATCAGTTTGAGGTTGCTGATTAATGATCTTTGCTCATACCTTCAACCTCAGTGCTTTAATTGCTAATGGAAATAGGCACCAGGCTGCTTGCAGTGCGATGCAGCGCACAAGAAGAGCCCACTGTGGAATAGGCCTAGTCAGAACTGCTCATTCAGCCACAGTGCAGAGACACCCTGCTCTTGAGTTTGACACGTTGTTGGGTGTTTCTTATTGTTTCTGCACATATCTTAAAAAAACCCAAATTTATTCCTGACTTTTGAGAACTTAGTGAATACCCTTCTCAGTTTTGTTTCCTCAGAGTAACACGGAATAGAATGGGGACAACATCCTGTGCTACAATGTGTAGTGAGGTCCTCATGTTAACTTGCTGTGCTGAACGAAACCATTAAGCCTAAGTTACACCATTACTACTCTGTGAGAAAGGTTTCCCTCTATAAGCCAGGTGTAGACAGGAGCTCTCAGGCAGCTGATTTCTGGATTCTTGCAGGACTGTAGCTGTAGTATATGCTATCACACTTGTGAAATAGGAATGGCACTACCTTTCTTGGCAAGGAGGTGTAAGGATGAATATCTGTTTGAGGAGAGCAGATAGGATGATGTGGTCGATAAATACATCTTGACAGTTACCTGATGTGAACACATTTGTTTTAAATGTTCAAGACTTGTCTGTGTCACTTACACTGTCTCTTGCTAAGCCTCATTCCTCTGTATGTATGATGCTTTCATCCTCACACCTGCAAGGAGCCTGACCTTCTTCCAGGTGCCATCAGTGCAGGAATCAGTGTGCCCTGTACAGGATGACCACTACTAGTAAGAAAAAAGGTCAAGCAGAAGGGCACAGTTGTGTGTTTTAGTGTTTTAACTGAGCTGCTTGCAATAAGCACTGGGCTCTCCAGCAGGTTTGCTCTGCCAAATGGAACTACACCAGACACAAATGTCTCCTAGTAGATGTCCTGCCACTTTCTGTAGTGTGTCCTACACTAGTAGTGTGTTCTACCTCCTCCTCTTGCCTAGTTTTATCAGACTGTGTGGAAGATGGAGAGGGTTGATACAGATGGGAAAAGTTATCCTATCATGTGACTCAGCTGTAGAAATTTAGTGTTCCAGTTTGAATTACTGAGAACGCTTTTTAAATTAAGCTTTTTTCTATTTCTAAACAAAGAGGGGAAAAAAATAAAAGGACTAAAGTGTCTTTTGTTAAATATACTGAAACTGAGATGCTGCAAGGAAAAAAGCTGCCAGACTGCCATTTAAAGCACTTCAATACACAGGGCCTAGGGGACCTGCTGTTCATTGCATGATCACTAACCGGATGAATAGCTATTATACAGCATTTGGTCATTAAGTGCTTAAGGAAATATAGGCCCAGGTGTCTTCTGGTGGTTTAAAAGCAGAGCTGGTCAGAACTGAGGCTAAAAAGCGTGAATCAACAGTCAGGGTGCACTGGTGACCTGTAGGATTGTAGAAACCTCAGTAAAAATCTCTGCCAGCTCCCTAAGTTGGACAGCAGCTCATCTGGGGTTCAGAAAGCCCCTCCACCCTCAGAATATGAGAACCTTTGCCTGTTTCTATTAGACAAGTACATTAATTGAACAAAAATCCTTATGCCTTAGATGCTGCATATGCAGGTTACACATACAATAACTGAAAGAAAGAATGGCATTTTTACTATTATTCATTTCCCTGAAAGTAATTAAAATAGTAATTCAGCTGGATATAAAATTAGTTCACAAGGTTTTTTCATTACTCATGGTTTAATTCATTACAGCAACTACTGCTCTAAATGTAGCCATTCTCAAGGTTTATCTTCATTCATTTTCTCAGGAGTGACACCCAGGTTACTGAAGACTGAATTGAGCCAAGAGCAACCCTGTCAAATCTCCATCTTTGTGCCACGAAAACTGGCTACAAGTGAGTGACAATGGTACAATTGTCACTGCTGCTTGCTTTTTCATCATGAAATCTGATACCTGCTCTGTACTTTTAGTTGTGCCAACATCAGTAACAGTTACACTCACTATCTCAGAATTCATGTGAAACAAGAAACACTGCTCATGAGCACAGTTATTACAGGAGTTTCTAGATAGCCTAAAGGAGAACTGTCTCATCAGAGTTTTGCTGAGACACTAAATAGTTGGTTTCAGTGTAAATGAACACTCTGCTGCCATAATTATGAGAACTGAAGCAAGGCAGAGGCTTTAATTCCAAAGCACAAAGCACAGCTGCTTAGCAGTTGCTGATGCTCCTGCTCTCCCACCAAAAAAGATGCCTCAAGCTTTAAGACGGGTGGCTTGCAACCCTTTATTTATTTTAGTATTTGGAAATCAGCATGCTCTTGTATCAATGACTAAAACTGAAATGCTAAATCTTCAATAACTCTACTTGAAAGATATGGAAAAATCACAGCAACCATAGACAAGAGAATTAATTTTAGGGTTTTATTATAAAAGTAAAATAAAAATAAGCATTTAAAAAGCCCACTTTGTCAAACAGGAACAGATATAAAAAAACTATTTACAAGTAGGAAAATGCCAAACTGGAAAAAGATTTTGAATAAGAGGCACCAAAGTGAAATTTAAATACATTATTTGAAATATACAAGATTCTTTTTTTTAGGATTTTCTTTGTTTCTCTGAATTGTCACTGTTACGATTAATGATTTTTCTTTGCCAGCTATATTAGGAGCTTTTTTTGTGCAACTGTGCTGCAAAAATTATGAAGAGACCGGCTAGAAACTGCATCCTTTGATTGCTCTGTGTGCCTTACCTCTTTTTTGAGTTCATAGTATGCTTTAAGGAGTGACTTTCATCTGTAAAAGAAAATCCTCACAACCCAGAAAAGCTCAGTCAGTCTTTCATAGCATCCAGTCCTGTGTATTAATATGGCAGGAGAGCCCTGGTTATTGTATATGGCTTGTAAATGAATAAAATTAAATGTACTTGAGGAAGGAAGCAGTGCCTAGGAGTTGCATGCTGAAGTTGCCATTGCTTCTGGTTCGGGTGGGATTCTTCCAGTGCACTTTTGGTTGTGAATTCACTTCCCTCTGACCAGGACGATGTAATTTTTAATGTTGCATTTGTTCCTGTAACTGCATATTGCTAATTGAACATTACTATTTGGCTATATAATTGCTTTGGACTGAACTTTCATGTCCGTAGCCCAGGGCCATTTTGCTCAGTGTTAGTGATGACTTGCTGTTCAGAGAGTCTGAATAAGTAAAACTCAGTTTGCGGAACGAGGTCTCCACACCGCTGTCACACGTGCTTTCATTGTCTTGAAATTTGCTGTTATAAAGCTCACCTGAGGGAGAGAGAAAAAGGAAATATGTTATTCTTTGTGTGGCTTGAGTAATGCTGCTTTCAGAAAAGTCTAAGGAATGCAAACCAACAGGGTCAAAGCTCTTCTATAGGAAAATGATTCTAATATGAGGTATTATTTTAGGAAAAGCTGTGCTGAATGTTTTCAGGCCACCAAAGCATGTGATCTGACATATTGCTGGCAGAGATCAGCTTGCAGTTGGAGCTTGGATGGGATGAGAAGCCTGGTGCTCTGCTGACACTAATGTTGTCACTGCACATTGGTCAGGACTCTGCCCTGGTGTCAAAAATTTCTCTGTTTCTCAGATTCAGGCTCTGAGCAAATGTACAGCTCCAGGATGAGGCTCATGTTATTTTAACTTAACTTACAGATTTCTTTTTGAGACAAATATTTGAACAATTTTCATCTAGTAAGTGAACCTGATATACGAACAAGTCAGCAGCAGCCATCACCTGTGCACTATTCACAAAAGGAGTGCCTGACTGCGAGGGATCAGTGTCCAAGCTGAAGGTATGATATGGGATCAGTGTGACTATAACAGTGGTTGGCATATTAGAGTTCAATCTTATTTTTCTAAACAAACACCTTAAAATAAACGATGTGATGCAGTCCATTCCTGTTGTAAAGGAGCAGAACCCCTCTTACCCTTCAAGATTAATCTAAAGGCGTAATATGTGTACAAGCACATTTTGGGTAGGTGTGAAGGTTCTTTCCATGACTGAAAAAACTGTTCTCTAGAGAGTAAACTGGCTACATTTGGCTACTAGAATGGAGTGACCGTGGTTTTCCTTTTCTTCCCTTTCCAGAAATATCTACAGTATTTTCACGTACAGGCAGCATTACTGGTGTTTTAACAGTAAAAAACAAATTTTTTTTTTTACTTAAAATGGCCAGGCAATGACTGAACATCCCTGATGACTTACTGACTTCTCACAACATCTGTTTTTGTGTTAGTAGAGTCTCTTGCCCAGAAACACTGTAGGATGCTCAGAACTCAACTGGACATGACATGGACAAACCCATGTAAATATTTATACTGGCCCTGCTCTGAGCAGGTAGTTGACAGCAGGACTGCTTGTGGTCCTGTGTAATCTCTGCCTACAGAATACTGGGACATTTTGGAGTGCTACACACTGTAGAAAGAGATATTTAATACCAAAGTCTTATTGAGAAGTTTATGTGCCCAAAACATTTTTGTGTATCTGTATATGAGGGGGGAGAAAAAAGTCAAAAGCTAATGGCACTTGTACATGCCTGGGAAATCATTGCCTAGTTTATCTTTTGAAACTTATTCTCAGTACATTCATGGCATTACCATCAGCAAATAGTAAGTGTCTGGTTTTAGAAAAGGGAGGCAGTATATTCAATACTGTGATGCAGGCATGCTGATTCAAATGGTCCATTTTTCCTCTCTCTTCTAGGCCTAGCAAATATCTATGACAAGAAAGTCACGCTGCAGTAAAATATTTCTGAAGCAGGTAGGCAGCTGAGGCATTGTGTGTAAGGAAATATAAAATCTATCATCAGTCCAAGGTGGGGTGGGGAGGGAGAATTGAGAAAAACATCTTAAATAAAGCTCTTTATATTTTGTTGTCAATTTTACCTGTCTCTCCACTTGCAAAGGTGAGTGGTGATGACGACGGAAGAGCTTTTGCTGTACTCTTCTCCAGGTGAGATGGACTGTGTGAGATGGACAGTGCTTCCTGAATGACTTCAATGGCTTCTGTGTGATTCATCTGTCTCAAAGCAGCGATCAACTCCTGAACTGTACCACCAGAGACCTAAGAGAGAAGACACCAGATGCTCACCATCATCCAGGCTGGTTAGAACTGAAGGGCTCCTCACTGTCCAGGAGGACAGTGTTCTCTACACGTCTGAATGTTCTTGATAACTTGTTACAGCCACATTACCTCATAGTTATCTAGCAGAGTTTTCGATGGAGAAGGGCTCAACCTGAAGGCATTATTAAGTATGCCAAGACCCAGTTTTTGTGCTAGAGTGGACCAGTTTTTGGTAGGATCAGGCAATTCCAATAGTTTGTAAAGCTGCATCTTGGAACTTTCATTCAGCTCTCTCAAGTTTCCTGGGGAACAGAGAAATATGTTAGTTTATTATTTGCAGAAATCACGCACCAGTTCATTTCTAAGCAGAAACAAAACTAAACTGAAGAGTATATTAGCGTCCAGTCCCAGTGTTTATAAATGTATTGCTGTAATATTGAAAATGTACTCCTTTGTGTCCTTATGACTTCTTAAGGGAATTGTGCTCATTCTGTGAGCAAGTGGCTGGGAGGGTACCTCTTCTCCCTCACCAGTTCAGTTACAAGCTATACCAGGGCAATGTCTTCTGCCACTATGGTCTGAGAATTCAATTAGTAGAGGGATATTGTCAAGTCTTTATAGATGTTACCTCGTGTCAGCAACTCCTCTGAAACCTCTGTTGACTGGTAGGGTTTCCCATTTAATATGTCGTACACCTAAGAGAATATATCAAATTCAGTATTTAGCAGAAACCTTGTTAGTATCCATTATCTTGACAAGTCTCAGCAGTATTGTACCTAATTCCATCTGTAAATCAGCATTTTTTCCTCTCTGAGGTTCAGTAGTCTGTTAAGTGGAGCTTTCTTCCAATGTTATTTCATTGTGGGAGTTTTGTGGCTGAATTAGTTTAATTTTTGATGGCAAATTAGTTGCTTGTCACCACTGAAATAACTGTGGATGCAGTGAAAGGAGCTGGCTAAGAGATCTGAACTGTCCTTGATGATTAGAAATAAAAACAGAAAAAACCCCACCAAACAGCAAAAACAGACTACCTACCTCACAGTTGGCTGCCATATCCAGTGGTGTTGTTCCAGGCACAATCCCTTCATCATCATCTTCAGCATCTTTCACATCATCTAGATCAAACAATGGCTCAAAGTTCTCAATGTGAGGATTTGCACCTGGAAAACAAGTGTGCAAAAAAAAAAAGAAAGAAAAAAGGCTTCGAGTTGCTTTTCAACAATATTTAAAATATGCATTCTAATTTCTGAATGGCAAAACAGCTAATTTATTTACTCCAGCTAAATGATATTTTATATTAAGCCAGCAAATAACTCTTTTTAAAATTACATTTAAATGCTGTCACATCTCTGTGTAGTGCTACTCTCCAATATAAAGAGGGGGAAAAATGTTCCAATAAATATTCAAATCTAATTCTTCTAAAGTGACCTAAAATAGGAAACAGTAACAAGCTCATGTTTCAGTGATGGGGTTATTTTTATTTCTAAAGCAGTCTAACACTTATCCCAGCTATAACAAGGTCTCTTCTCCACTTCTTCAGCTATAAAAGCTACACAAGAAATATTCAAAAAATTTCCAAGAGTGCTCAAGAGATTTTTCTTGACCAACATAATTTGCCTTTTTAGCCATTAGATGGTGCTGAAGAGTGGTTAGTATAGCACCTCTAAGTCGGACTTTCTGAGGAAATTCAGACCTTCAGGCCTTTAACATCTGACTTCCTCCACTCATTAAAGTTCATGGGCACATTCTTTTCTGCTTGCAGCCTTCTAACTTGAATTTTCATCACTGTGAAAGAGAACTCTCCAGCAAAGATCTATTTTCATACCTGCTGCTTTGAGAACTGCTGTCAGTTTTGTAGAGCCCCTTCCAGCTGCTATGTGAAGTGGAGTCGTCCCATCATATGTAGTGCTGTCCACATCTGCATCACCCTAGGTTTTTATTGAATGACAAAAAGAAAAGAAATCTATACAATAGAGCTACAGAGGCTCATGTCTGCATAAGCATGGCAAGCACTTTCCACGCCTGTTTGCATAAAAACTAATGTCTGAAAAGAAATAATTAGAGAGTAACTACAACTGTCTGCATGGAGGAGCAGATGGTTGTGGTGTGCTCCAGGGTTACAGCAGGAGGCACAGTGTATATCCAAATAGGCCAGGTACATTAAAGCCACTTTACATCCCATGTAATGGTTCTGCCGTGTGATTACCCTTGGCCTTTGGAGTGTGAATGGTGTGCACAGAAATCTGCCTTCCTGCTGCTCTTCAGAAAAGCAGCCAGGCTGGTGGCACATCCATACACCAACGCCAAGGAGAGCTACAGCAGCAGGAGGTGTGTAGAATTAAGGATCAAGGTGTTAAAAAGATGAGACAAATACTTATAGATATGCACAACTCCATCTCTATGCACATCTCTCTATACACATTCAACTACACACAGAAGTAGTGATAAACTTGTTCATGAATAAGTTCATTGGCTGCCAGGATTACTCAGTGCAAATTAAACATGGCATATGCAGTCAGGTCAGGGTCACTGCAAATTCCTCAGCTTGTCCAAAAGATTCACCAGCAGTGCTGAACAAAACCATGAATAACATTACCAATAATTTTGCCATTATGCTAATTTAAGTAATCTAGTCGATAAACAGGAACCCCCCTTTCTGTTCCTCTGAAGCACTGAAGGAGTGTCCAGAGTATTTAAATATATAGTTGGAAAGACCTGGAAGAAAGAAATTCTGCCCTTACCTCAAGCAAAAGGCAGCCTGCCAAAGGGATGTTCTCTTGTTCAACAGCCAAATGCAATGCAGTTCGTCCAGATTTTTGTTCCTGAGAATTGACATTAACTCCAGCAGCAATCAGCTGTTTGAGGCAGGACATACTGTTTGCCATCACTACCATGTGAATTGCACTGAGACCTACACGAAATAAATCCCAACCATTGATATTGTGCATGTGTCCATTTGCATTAATATTTGAAAAATTCAGAAAAGTCAGAGTAATGAGTTTTGAAATGTCCGCATCTATGAGAATTGTAAAATAAGTTAGAGTTTCTGTAGTTATCTGAGCAGAAGTAACATATTTTGCCTGCTTATGCCCTAAAAGATGATAGAATCATAGAATTGTTTGGGTTGGAAAGGACTTCAAAGATCATCTAGTTCCACCCACCTCCTGCTGTGGGGAGGGACACCTCCCCCAGATGAGGTTGCCCAAAGCTGCTTCCAACCTGGCCATCTGGGCCAGGGATGAGGCATCCACAGCTTCTCTGGGCAACCTGTTCCACTGCCTCACCACCCTCATAGTAAAGAATGTTTTCCTCATATCTAATCTAAACCTACCCTTCATCAGTTTGAGACCATTCTCCCTTGTCCTGTCACTACACGCTCTTGTAAAAAGTCCCTCTCCAGCTTTCCTATAGGTTCCCTTTAAAAGGCACTGGGAGGCTGCAATGAGGCCTCCCTGGAGCCTGCTCCTCTCCAAGCTGAACAGCCCCAGCTCTCTCAGCCTGTCTGCAGTGGAGAGGTGCTCCAGCCCCCTGAGCATCTTCATGGCCTCCCCTGGACCCACTTTAACAAGCCTGTGTCCTTTGTATGCTGGGGGTCCCAGAGCCTAAAGTAGCACTCTAGGTGGAGGCTCAGGATCACGTTAATGATGTTAATAAAAATGTTCTTTGTGCATAAATTGGAACTAGTTGTGCTAATGGTGGTGAGTCAAAACCACGCAAGAAAAAGAACCCCAGCAGACTACAAGGTGGAACAGAAGGCAGGAACTACAGAGCTCACCTAGAGCATCTCTTTGCCTCAAGAGAGAGTAGCCTTAAAAATAAAACCTGCATCTTGGTGCTAAACAAGTATGTACCCCACACTGGCCCCATCTGCTACTGAACATCTCTTCTAGAAACAGTCTTGGGGAATAACTGGTATATTTTAATATCATCCTCCTGTAAGGTCACACTGCCTTACCATCTCAAGATTACCTGCACTAGATCACAAAACCTTGTATTTAAAAAATCAACCAACCAAACAATATCCAACCAAATAAAAAATTCTTTCTCTCTGAGGAACTTAACACCGTTTTTTGAATCCCATAATGACATTTTTAGGTCAGAAATTTTACAATCTATAGAGGAAGAGTACTACTAAATTCAAATCCCCCATGCCAATGAAAAATGGGAGAATTGTCTCTTTGTGGTTAATTTGTAGGGTCTAATTCTGTATGGTCACGAAGTACCACATACAAAACTCAACACTGGTCCAGAACCTATTTTTGAGGGGATTCATTCACTAGAAAAGAGGAAACATTTTCTTCTAGGAGGGTTTTTTTTTTTTAAAAAAACAGTGGTGGCATAAGGTATCTTGGAAGGAACACAGTGCTTGAAGTTTTGTGAGATTGAAGAGAATACAGAGTAACAAAAATTCAAATCCATACTATGTCATGTGGCCATTACATCTTTCTGTTCTGTATAACCAGAAAACCAACACATCTGTGTTCTCTTATCTGTGCCTGCAAACATATGCAAAATGAGGAAAGATGCTAATTTCAAGGTCTGTATCTACCTGTGTAGAGTCATGGTGTTGGCAGGGGCAGGAATTGGGTCGTGTTTGTCTAGTAGCTAAGTGTAACATAGAGCCCTTATCTTTCCATACCTTCACCATTGGAAAGGTTGACCATCGGAGATATCTTCTCATGCCTGAGGAGCAGACTCAAGATCTTGTCATCTCCTTCGGTAGCAGCTAAATGTAAGACAGAATTACCATGGCGATCCAAGAGGCTGACATCTGCTCCAGCCCTCAGCAAGTCTTCTACCACCTCTGCCTGCTTTGTGATTACTGCCAGGTGCAAGGGGGTCTAGAAGAGACAGAAGCAAGCCACGAGAAGATAAGCAACAGCTACATCACTTCTACAGCAATCTCTGAAACCCATAAAGGCTCCTAGTGTGAGAAGATGTTATACCACTCCAAAGCTAACAGAAACTAAAAGCTTGCATATGTGTACATTCTCTTCTACTGAATACTACAAATAGAGTTTCTACTTACTGGAAATAAAAGCTGCCTTGCCAGTGTCAGCAGTTGGACTTTGGGAGGAACAAAGATGTTGCCTACTCTATAAGCCAGGGCACTGACCTGGCTATTTGAGCATTGCAGTGTAAGGGACTTGGGAAATGAGATAATCCCTGCACCCCCCAGACACTGTAACCCTGCTTCCAGCTGCCCCATCACCAAGTTCATGCCATGGTTGGAGCACACGCACTTTCCAGGCCCTGCTCAGATCTGCCTTTACCACTGAACCATGCTCTCAATTTTGCTCCTGAATCAGAGGTTTGCAGCCATGGGCTTAGAAGCTCCTTATCCCTCAAAATGGCTGCACAGGAGTTAGTGAACATACTCAGAGTTGCATGTATTTAAACAGTAAGCATTCTAGTAAGGCTTGGGAAATCATATTTCCAATATTAAA